GTGCTGACATGTCAATAGATAATAGAATTTAACAGGCACATGAAGTCACCATTCATTTTAGGTTTTTTCATTTCGGTTAAAAAGATGAGGGATTAAAATTTTCATATTGTATGTTGAAAGGTTGATACTCTCATAGCCAATAAGATGAGAGGCTAACAACTTTTATATTATAAGTTGAGGTACTGATACTCTTATAGTCAGTAAGGTAAAGGACTAGTGTAGGATTTTCACCATGAAAACAAACACTAATATTGAATTTAAGAGGTTAAAATTCAAATATATTGTACCAAAATCATGTTACCAAACAGACCGTAAATGAATTTATCCATGCCCTCCTATTTATGGTATATTTGGAAGTTTGGCCTCCAAAATCATTTCTTTACATTTACAACAGTATATTATTTCAAAAACACTCTGCAACCCCATGTCTGAGAATTTCTACACTCTCAAAAATGTCATTCACACTTCTTCAAAATACGAATTGAATTTTGTTCCCTACATTATTTTTATTTTTATTCGTCTTTAGTAATTTCGATCCATAATGATAAATAATAAAATATATTATTAGGGTAAGGCGGACCATTCGTAATTAATTCAAGTCAAAATTATGTAGGTAATGATGATAAGTGGGTCAAATTACCAAAGACACATAACCCTAACTTCCAAAATAATTATCAAATAGAGTTTAGTTCCACAGGACTCCAATGGTCTCCTAAATAATTAGGGCTAGCCTGATGAGTATAGGCGTGATAACATGATTTTTCAAGTGTATCAAGTTCACAATTTTAAATAGAGTCATAAACAAATTATTTATCTTTTTCTTAGAAAATAAAAATAAAAATTAAGGACATCTTATTTTTTTTGTAATCTTACACAAAAATATTAAAAAAATAAATAAATAAATTTTTTACTCAGAAGCAACAAATTTTCAAGATGAAAAACATTGCTACCAAAGAAAAAATTATTGTCAATATCTTATCTCCTGGTTGATGTGAAACTTGCAGCTACATAGCCATAGAATAGGAAAAAATTCAGATGAAGAACTATTATCATAAACTGAACTATTGGTAGCTTTTTTTTTTTTTTTTGCTGGATTTTCAATTAATTTCGTAAGCACTGATATGATTCACTCGGACCATTCAATTGTACCAGTCAAGAAACAAGATGGAAAAGGTAAGTACAAAAAGAAAGAGCAAGAGAAACGTCCTGCTACTGCTATTCCGTTGGATAGCTTGAGACAGCTCTTTGTTGCCAAGTTCTACATTTTTTGTTGCTTCAATCGCCTGTGCGACCACAACACAACAAAAGTTGGAAACATGTAGTGTTAATGGACAATGGTAAATAAAAGAGAAAGCAATCACAATCAGTTGAAAGCTGGAAATGGTCCAAGTGAGTTCACTTACCCATGCTTAAGAGTAAAGATGACATTCAACAAAATTTGATTCCAAAAGGCATCAAACCCTACACCCTCTAATCACCCAAATTCATCTTTACTCTTCCAAACCCCTAAAACCCCATGTTTCTTTTGAGACTTAAACCCACCAAAAGAGGTTTGTAGCCATTTCTAAATTCTGTCTTGCATTAGTGTAATTTGCAGAAAACCATACACTTAAACACCAACTCTGCTATTCTTTTGAGTGATTTCAATATATATATATATATGAGAAGGGATCCACTTACACACAAGTTTTAGAAATCACACTTAAATACAAAATCTTGACCATTCATCTCTCCACTTTCAATATTTGAAATTTATTATGATTTTTTAAATAAAAAAGATAATTATCTTTAATAAATGTACTAAAAAGTGAATAAAGATAATTTTATCTTTTTCATCTAAAAAGTTGTAATAAATCTCAACCATTGAAAGTGAAGAGATGAACTGTCAAGATTTTGTGAAAGTGTAGTGTGTAAGTGGATCCCTACTCATATCTATAGTCTTTTTTTATTGTTTCACAATTTACTGTGAAGACATCAATAATTTAGTTGAGGCGTAGGATTGGGATTACATCCAAATTAAATGGCATAATTTAGCAAATAATAAGTATACAATGAGAATGATTTCTAGGTCTACTTAACATCACAGTACAGTTTTTAATAGTATATCTCGTACAATGCCATTTCCTACCCATGTCAATTTTTTTACTGACATTTCAAATGAAAGTCTGAACCAGAGTTCAGGGAAACTTGAGCTGCTCTTTTTCCCCCCCTTAATCTATCAAATTATTAATAAAGTTATTCACCACTTCCTACGAATGTTGACTAATTCAAATCAAAACCATATCAATTAATAAAATGTGAGCAGACAATAAAAAAGTTGATGGTGGTGCCAGAAGCATAACTAATTATATAGGCATCAAAAAGTGTATGCATCATGGAAAAAAGCCTGACCTGCTCATATAGGAACTCTATCTGTTGAGCTTGCTGTAGAACATGAGTTGACATGAGGTGATTCAATGCAGACATCTCCACCATCTTGGTTTCAGTTTCTTGAACGGTATCAAGAAGACTAGTTAATTCCACCTGCACAAGAAATAAAGTAGCTAGCAACTTCAATTTTCAAGGACCTAGGCAATTAAATTAACTGAGGAACCACATGATAGAGAGAACCATTCAAAATCTAAGATGGCATATGTCCTTATTACCTGAAGGGCTCGTGTTTCATCATCCAACAACTGTTGTTGGACTCTAAGAGACTCGGTTTGGAGTTCCTCAGGCTCCTTGTAATCTGAATTGATTGTTCTAGTGGCATTTGCAGAATTTGAATTAACAAGCCGATTAAATTTTCGTCTTGGTATGGCTTTATTGACAGCATCTTGGAAGCGGATGGCTCTCATCTGATCAAACTTTGTTGTGACAGAATGAAGCCTCTCACTTAAAATTAGAACCTGCAGATTAAGAAAGTATACTATAAATATCCAAGCAAAGAAAAATTACCACTTTCTTTCTGAGAAGAGAGAGCAGCTGCCAGGCTAGACAAGATGGTTTTTTAGATAAGAAACAGAAAAAAACCACCAACTATTATCATGAAGAGATTTTTAAGCTCATATATGCAGAAAATGACAAGAAAATATTTTATAGTCTTGAATCTTCATATAAATGTTTTTTTAATCGTGTTCATATAAATGGTTAAACTAGGAGAAACTGAAATGAACAAAATTACTTCTAACTCAATTAGGATAACAAGATAGCAGGATAGGGTGAGAACAGAGGAGGCATTAGACTATTTGTCAACAGAAACCTAGCGTTCTGATGGGCCAAATTAGGGTGAGAAAATATGTCAACATAGAGGTATAGTTTAACTACTTGCATTGCAGATAGGAAGGGGAGGGTAAACAGTCTGATCTTTATTAGACCACATTCTAGTTTGGATGCTGCCGAGCATTAGAAATTTATAAGTTATCTGTCTTCCAATGAGGAGGAGAAACCCACCTGTTATGTGGTCCAATTGAGAATTTAAAAGGAATTTCCTATATTAACCCTCCACCAACAGAAAAAAAAAAAAAGCACTTAGAAAGGCTCCAAACACAATTTAGATTTTAGATGAAAAGAGGATTTAACTTGCACAAGTAGCATCTCTCAGTATATTATTGTTCTTGAAATGAGCTAAACTCCTTTTCTTTATCTTCAAAACCAAATGCATGCTTCCCAGAAAATTTGGAAGAAATAGATAAACTACGCTAGAAAGGATTTATTTAAAAGACCCAATTAGCTCAATTTCAATTACATTTCAAGTATACAAATAATGCAATAGAAATTATTGTTTACTTTTTAAAAAGCTTTGGCAGATAACTTTCAGCAATAAAGAAAATCATAAACCAACTCAATTTTTTTTTTTTTTTAAAACAAAAAGGAAAAGGAACATGATTAAACTGAAAGAACATAGCAATACCACTCCATGTTTGTGTGCTATAGTATCAGCATTTGAGGTATCAGCCTTGATGCCAAGCCAGCCCTTAGAGCTTGCCTCTTCATCATTTATGCTATTTTTGAGAATATCAATGCGATCTTTGCATGCTTTAATAAAAGCGATAACCTGCAAAATTTTGACAATAGTGACTCAAGAATTAAAGGAACCAATCCCACAAAAAGGAAGCAGAATCATTTACTTAAAGACAAAATAAAAGGATTCACTCCATAATGGTGTTAAACCATTGTGAATCAAAAGCAGCCAACATGCAATTACAAAGTTGCCATAGGAGCCTAGGTATGCTAACATCGTCTAAAAAGAAGCACTTAAAACTCTAATCCTTTAATATTTGCTCCTTAAGTGTAGAAGTCAGTGTTTCTTTTCATCATAATATAAGATGCTAATCTAATCATCAAATGAGATCACAGTCACAAATACTCTTTCTTTCTTTCTTTTTTCTTTTTTTATAATGTAATACAATCAAGAACAAAATTGTGTCACATTCATTTGATGCTAGTAACAGGAAACTATATATCCAGAACATGGAATGATAAACAATCTTCAGTAAAAATATTAAGACATGTAGAATGAACATAGTTGGTGCTCGTATCAACTAGAAAAGAAAGAACACATACTTCGTGCTCAATGCTGTCCCTCTCTTGCTCTGTGGTCCGGTGCAAATCTATGTAATCCTTTTGATGTTTCAACATGAATTGCTCCAGAGCTCCAATGCTTTCTAGCTGATACAGCTCAAAACCAAAATAAATCAAAAAAGAAGAAGATATTAACAAATTAGCATAATTTCATTTTGTTAAAAGAAAACAAAGGTTGCATTGTGTATACCGTTTTTAGTGCGGCTTTGGTGAATGGAGTCAACTGGCGTGGCTTATGGATTATGAAGGATGCCATAATGGCTGCCAATTTGGACTGTGATTATTAATATACAAAGAAATATCAACCATAACAATTCGCACAATTAAATTGAATTATTACTTAAATAAATAAATAATAAAGAAACTTCATTTTTTTTTAAAATTACCTCATTGTAACCTAAAGATATGGCAGTGTGGCGTACACTGTCCTTGAAATCCTCAGTGCGGTCTCTGAATCTTGACATCTTGATTTCACCTAAATTAAAACATGAAACTGTAGGTAGTTTTGGCTAATTATTTAAGCAATTTTACTCAGAAACCTAAGATTGAAAACCGCAGAACATAGAGAAACAGAATACGAGCAATATTAACTCAATCCTGAAATTTCAACTAAAATTGCCGGAAAATATGAATATTCAAAGCAATTTTGAAGCAGAAGAAGAAAGCGTTCAGGATCAAATTAATCAAAAGTCTTAGAAATGAGGAGAAAGGGATAGAGAGAAAATGTACCTTTCAAGCAAGTGTCGGTGAGATCTCGCAGGGGTTCACGGCAGCTGGAAGATCAATAGAGAAGAGATTGAAGGAAAGGATCAGCAATTTAACTGAATCGAGTCCCGAGCATCTGCAATTACAGATGGAGGAGAAGAGAGGACGACGGAACAAGCGAGGGATTGTAGCAGCCTAGAAAGAGAAGAAAATGTAAAGTAAAATTTAAATCATTATATAATGATTCCTCAAAGATCTCTCCCTCTTCAACCTTTCTTTTTCTGTTTTCTGGTTGAAATTGAAGATGAGTGTAATCGAATTAGGGAAATCAAAGGATAGAATAGGGGGTTTTACAATGCTACAACAAAGATCCAAAACAGAGAGAAACAATCCTAGTTCATCTCACTCTGACGTAGCCATCTTTTCGCCAGCAACTTCTCCGACGTAGTCTTCCCTCCGGTGAACTGGTTGAGCTTTACTCGAGCGGCTACGGCGTCGGGAGGATGGAAGGAGAATCTGCAGGAAAGGGTAGAACAGAGGGTTTTTGAATGCAGAGAAACACGGGCAAATCAAAGAAGAAAAGGGGATGAGGTTATTGGTGTGAATATGAAGAATACAAAGAAGGAATTCATGCTAAGGGTTTGTAAATTTCTGGAACAAGGGGAAAGTTAAGATGAGAAAAGAGAAATTGGGGTTTATTATATTTTTTTATTTGAAACGGCGTCGTTTCAATAATCTATTTCAACAAAAAGTTTACACCACCGGCTAAGAAACAGTTTTCCGATTAATTAAACCTGCGAGACAACTATTTTTTAATTTAAATTGATAAACAAAATGCAAGTTTGAAAA